TGTTGAAACCAATCGAGCAGTGTCTGTTCCAGACTCGAGTCTCTTGCTCGCCGAATCTGATCCAACGCTTCGTCTCGAAAGTCTCGTAGTCGCGTCAAGCGCATGTAGGCTTCCAGGAGATTTGGCTGTCTGTACAGATCGCTCTCGTCTTGTTCTAGAAGTCTCTGGACATACGAGCAATCTCTCTCGAAACTGTCGAGACCTGCCTGCATTGCACGGGTGGCCTCGAAATTCCGGTGTACTCTTGCGAGATAGTCCAACTGAGGGAAGTTCTTGCGGATGGCCTGAGCCTGCTCGCAGAGATCATAAATGCTCTTCATCTCTTCCTTGATTTGTCCGACCAGTTTCTGCCCTTCGGATAGGGTTGACATGCCATTTTGCGTGGTGTCCAGATGATCCTGCAATCCTTCTCTTAATCTGGCATCCACATCCCCCTTTTTACGATTGATTTCTGCCTTTAAACTTGTGATCTTTTCGAGATCTTCGGGGGTGCGAAGGACATCCTGAATCCGCGGCATGCCCACCGAGCCATGCGCGCTGACTCTACTGGACATGTTGGCCGGAGGAGTCGACTTTGAGGGAAAGGTTTGAAGATTCGTGGAGGCCCCCGAGCGTGGCTGGGACTATCTGTAGTCCAAATGCATCAGTGCATACTCGTACAGTTTCAATCCATCTAGTGAGAAGTGTGTTCTACTGTACAAGTAGATGTTAGACGGTTGGGTTCGTGTAGGCGATGTTTGAAGTGCGGTCGGAGGAGTGGAAAGCTGGGGTTCTGATTGGTGCGCTTGCAACCTCACATGTTCGCACGCAGTTCCCGTTATTCCGCTTATTGGGCTCAGCCGTAGTTTTGTTTGCTTCCACTCTTCCTCCTAGTTCCACTTGCGTGCAAAGCCGTTCAATATGCGATGGGAGGTTTCACCGGAAGAATTGTTCCTCACGCACATTGGACAAGTAAAGGCAGGCTTTGAGGTCGACAGTTTCGCATTGCATGAAGACCGAGGAGAGTGTGCGTCACACTTACGTGGGTCCAAGGATACGGCGGTGGATTGTCCTCACGTCTAGCGAGGAGATGGGAGTCAGGAACAGCAGGGAACAGCATGGACATGAATGATTTGGTTCGGCCATTGCGAAGAAAAGAGTATATGAACGAAGCGGTCTGCGCCGGTCCAGATTGACGGTTCGTAACAAACTTGCGCAACACGCAACTTTGCTGTGATTTCGGGTTAGCGTGGAAGGTGGAGGGTGCCAGTGCTGCATTTCCAACAATCGCTGTAGCCAAATTATGCTTCACCATCCTTTTTTGATGCCCCTGTTCATCGACGGCCTCGAATTTTGACCGATCGAAAGCGCGTGTCTTGGAGGGACCAATCCTAGTTCAGAGATACCATTTTTCGTTGATGATAGGTCTGAGTTTAGAATACGGCGTCGATGGCTGCGGCCCTTCGTTTCACGCTGCTCCTTGCCCGGTTCACTCTTGATCCGTGGTGAGTCGAACGACGGGTTCTCTTTCGTGGCAGGGAATATTTTCTGTGTTCGCTGGTCCATTTCGGCAAACAAAAATTCTCCTTGTGGCGTTATGTGTAGATTGTGGCCCGGTTCTATTGTAAAATCGTCTCCTAGGCTCACGTGTTTCCCTCCAACCGTGCAGGACTCATTGTATGTAATGCCACTAGCTTCGCTATTCCCTTCTTCTTCCCAAGTAATACCGGCTCAAAGACATGGATGAACTGGGTGTTATTGAACTACGGTCTGCGTCAGCTTATTCTTAGGGAAAGGATATGTGTAACGAGCTGTCACATCTTTCAGGGAGGGTTGCTGAATATTGTATTTGTTCAATACAAGCAGTTTACCCTGTCGTGAGAAATGACTTTCGCCGCGAGCCCAGTCCGCGCAGGCTTTCAAAAAGCTGTCGTGTTCTGACATTGCCAGGATTGATGTGAGAGTTCTAATTACAACGCAGTTGCGCTGGAGGGAACAGGCTGCAAGCTGCAAGACCGACTGCAAACAAGACTGGTTTTGAAGTGAGGTCTACCCCACGCTCGTGCCTATCGTTGGGATGAGGCAATCGTTTGTCGGTTCCCTCATAACAGGACGTACAGATATGTGCATTAACCCCTGGTTTGCTGACGCTTCTTCACGAGGGTCACGTGGTGAGGCAACCTCATCTGCCTTCCTAGCAGGTCCTTCACCCGCTACGGGCTGGTATGGTGTTCGGTCTGACCGTTTTTGTGACGCATTCAGAGAGGGGGGGGGGGGGGAGGGCCAAGCCTTGGACGACTTCAGTGGTAGCTGTAGGTGGAACCGCTCGGTGAATCTGGCCGGGTGAGAAGGACAAAATTCGTCTCTATGACTTGGGCACTGACTTTCCTCCAACCCCAGGGGTCTTCCACCTCCTGGATTAGTGATGGAACCTACCGAGGCAACCTAGCTACTAGCCAAAACTGGAGGAAGAGACATTTGAACTCAGGTTAAGGCTATTGCAATGACTACATGGTCAACGTGGTCGAGCATTCTCTGCGAAGCAACCCAGACCCAAGAGCTAACGAATGTCCTGTACCTTTGACATACATTTATCACAAAGCCCATAGTCCTCCAACATAGAGTAATCTCATACCGAGTTCGAGTTGTCAGCACACGACCATGCGGCAGAGCCACCAGAGGCCTTGTATGAGTCAATGATGCCGACGACCGACCCATAGGTGCCCCCAATCATCAAAAAAGTGCCCGATACAATCACAAAGACACTCCAGCAGACCATCAGAGTCAGTTTGGTAGTCCGCTCGGCCTTGAATTTGCCCCAGTTGTCGTACAGCCACATACAACCCATGGGCTGGAACGACATGAGAGTTCCGAGCAAAGCACCAATGAGGGACACTAGGCCACCGAAGACGGGAATGGCACTTGCAATAATATAGGCGATGATGGCATTCCCACCCGTACAGCCTAGCCAGGTAATCCAATGTCTGGCAGTGCCCTCAGTAAGGTGATGGGTGCCACGCAAAAGTCGCACAAAAATGTACTTGGCCGGTAAGTGGATGACCAGAGTCGTTGTAACAATCAGCCCTGGGAGAGCAAAACCATAGGCAACCTTTTTAAGGAGGGCACCAGCTGATCCCAGAGCCGGAGACGCCACATACGAGCCGGCATAATAATAGACCACCACACCGATGGTGATGTATGTCGCGGTAACAACACTCTGGCAGATAATGAGAGACCGTGTGTATTGTCGAGGATCTCGCATCTCAGAAACGATCGAAAAGAAAGCTGGTGTGCCGGCGTAAGCGAATACCAGGGACGAACAAGCCGAGATTGCGTCGGTGAAGGACGGGTTGTTCGTGATCTTGTAATCCGACACAAAGACACCTTCTGTAGGTGCATCGGCAGGCCGATCCTGTACACCAACAGCGATGGTGACGGTGAAAACTATACAAGGTCAGCGTTGTCTTGACGACTCTCCCACAAATAACATACTTGCAGTCAAGATGCATATCACTCCCACCCAAGCAAGCCACGATATCTTGCTCAGTGTCTGAATACTGGAGAGGCAGAATCCGATTATCGCAGCAACAGCGACAAAAACGGCAGTACATGCTCCATGTGTGGACACTGCGTTCAGGCCAATCGAGATGCCGAGCATGCCAGCACCAGCGACGAAGATCCAGTCTGTATAATGTTAGGAGGAGAACCATTGCTGGTTAGATGAACTCACAAAGCACAAATGCCAGACCAAAAATCTCGCGCCCGATACGACCAAACAACAGGTAGCCAACATCATCAATGCTATAGACAGAGCGGTGTCGAAGCTTGAAAACACCGACAATATAGTCTGACCATGTGGTGATGACAGCAATCGTTATCAGGCATATGATTCCAGGGATCATGCCGAGGACGTCGAAAACTGCTGGAATCGATAGGACCCCGAGACCAATCTGGGTCTTCATCATGAGAATGGCTGTTCCCAACCAACCGACCTAGAGAGCGTCGTCAGTCTTGTGCGGGACATCTTTCTGGAAACCACGGACATTGCGGTAATTCGGACCACCTTCAACAATCTCCCCAAAGACGTCGTCAACGATAGAAACCCGTCGTCCAGTTATAGAGAGGCGGCGTCCACCTTCGTCCACGCTATACGAGCGATACTCAGCCTCTTGAGCACCGAGGGATTTGTCGTCAATCTTCTCTTGATTCATTTTGGAGAAATAGCAGGAGTCGTGCTTCAACAGCTGTCTTCCGACAATGTGTCAGGATACTCCATTCAGGGATGTGCCACGGTGCCATAGTTATAGTATTTTGCCTTTTGCCTTCTAGTTGTCGAAGGGAACATCAGTCGTGTGCTATCATTGGTGTCAGAAAGCCCGACCGATTCTGCGAAATCCGGGGTCTAGCGCTGTCGGGATGCCCTCCGATATCTCGAGGTGCATCATCTGTTATACACCTAACCCAATACTGGATATTGGAAGCGCGTGAGGAACAAATCCGCGTGCCAGACTAGGTCTCCTTTCGCTCAAGCACAGACTGGGCACCAGTCGTCAGGAATCTCTGGGCCAACGGGTGTGTACCCGGTCCTTCTGACCGCAGAAACTGATGAACAGCTGATACGGAGAATGAATCCAGCTAGGACATACCTGGTTGCTGAGCGTAGATCAGCATTGATGCTTTCTTGGAGAGATGTGTTTGGTACACAGCCATCTAAGCATATGACTGACCAGACATTCTTCGACCCCAGTGATACCGTGAAGCACTCCTTGGCCTATCCCCAAGGAAGGCAGAAGCAAAAACAAGGCGAGAGGGGTAGGCTCGAGACATGGCATTTCACATTTCATCAAGATGTCGAGTTGACATTGACAGAAGAAACCTGGGCAAGGCCACCTTGTGGAGGGTTAATCACTCGGGATCTCGTCCGATGGCTCTGAGGCACTGCGATCAGAACGTCATTGAAACGTTGCGATTTGCTGCTACCCCAGTCGAGAGGCTGGGTATGCCTGTTCTTGTTAGTCACGATGGTTGGTGCGCGTGTCATGGTGTGTGATATGAAATCTGGGCATCTGCGTCTCTGGGTGTCTTCTGGGCTGCGCCGAGTCCCAGCTGAACGCAGGTGGCGAAACGTGGGGGAGGGGCGAAGAGGATCCGTGGATCCCAAGGTCCCAAGGCGGAGATGAACCCACTGAACCACTCACCAACGCTCAAGCACTTGTCGACTTTCTTCAACCCGCTGGCGCAAAGTATGCCTATCTCTCAGAGGCTACGGGGAGGCCCATCCCTCTGGGCGCACCTTTTCCAACGCCAATATTCTTCCGCAAGAGTTTACGATCGCTGCTATCGCCTCACGACAACAAGCTCCTGTATCTGCTACCTGACAGCAGCAACCACAAATGCCAGACACCATGCTTCCAAGATAGCTCATTGCTGCCTCCAGATATGTCCTCTGACAATTACTACCAGAACGCCGTGAGGAAAAGGCCGTTCGATGGCCAATATACAGCCACCTCCGTTATCGTCACCCTGTCCATCGCATTGGCCTTCTACAACTCCCTAGAAATGGTGCTTCTGATTTTGACCACCTTTAAGAGAAAGACAGGCCTATATTTCTGGAGCTTGAGCATCTGCAACTATGGCGTCGTGTCGTACACGCTGGGGATGACGTTGAGTTACTTTAACATCTGCGACTTTTGGCTGAGTGGGCTTCTGCTCGACTCGGGATGGCTGTGCATGATTACCTGCCAATCTCTTGTCCTGTACTCGCGGTTGGGATTGATCCTCGATAATGTCAACATTCTGAGGGCAGTGAAGTGGATGATTATTGTCACCAGTGTGTTCATCGGAGGCCCTACGGTGATTCTGGACTGGGGCCACGCATATTCACCCAATCCAAAGTTTGCCCAAGCGTACTTTTACGTGGAGCATATTCAGATGACAATCATCACGCTCCAGGAGCTGATCATTTCCGGGCTCTACGTGTGGAAGACGATGGTTTTGCTCAGAGTCATTTCCAAGGAAAACACTCGGAGTATGATTTGGCAGCTCTTGACCATCAATGTTATGATTATCTGCATGGACGTAAGCTATCAACGAATCCAGACCATGTCCATAACTGACAATCTTCCAGACGGCGCTGGTCATGCTACAATACAAGCGTCTCCAGCTCTACCAAGAAAGCATCAAAGGCTTCGTCTACAGTGTCAAGTTGAAACTCGAGTTGAATATCCTCTCCAAGCTGGTGGACCTGGTGCAGCGAGATTCCATGGACAGATCGATGAATCTGGAAATCATTGACGCAAGCTCCCTCGCAGGACAGACGCAAGCAGCGGTGCGACGGGAGTCGTGGATACCAGACCATCTCGGCTCATGGGCGTCAACCACGGACAAAGGAGTCGAGAAGCACATGGAGGAGGTCTACAACAGTAAGGCGGCAGACACATTTCCGGGCTCAAGACCATCGGATGAGGTCGATGGCATCACGCGGGTTTTTTCACAGAACTCTAGATATAGTGCGAGGACAGCGCGCCGAGAGTCTGACATTTTGTATGCAGAGGTCCTTCGCTCTATGAAGTAGGATTGGCCCTGTTGAGGAAATAGATACTGCTCGATCTTATCTTTTCATTTGTCGTGAGATTGGTGTCCGACCTTGTATATTACACAGTGTCTTTCGGTCACTCACAGATACTAGTGCTGGGCGTCTACAGAGAATACCCAAGCGATGTAATACTCTGAAGATACAGATCGAAATGGCTGAGATAGCGTCGCGATAGCCGAGATCAAAGGGTTGCAAATGCATCTAGAGCCCTGCACATTGACACCACCGTAATTGCTCATGGTTGTATCATGGTTGTTTTCCAGGTCTTGGACAAAGATTGTTATCGTCCATTTACCGCATCGCCGCATTGCGATTCGGCTGAGGCCGATCTCAATCCATCCATCCATCGGCAATCGGACATCGGCCACCGCATCCGACACAAACTCGTTACAAGCAACAATAATCGGGAACCGGGGCCGTACTTCGAATAATCGGGCGCCTCTACCGTGATCATTTCGAATCAATCCACGGGCAATACGCTCAGAAGGCATCCTGTTTCGCGTTCATTCGCATTGTTCGCCGTGTCTGTCCGGTTCTTAAAGATGTTCATCACGACATTCGTCTCGCGGTGCAGCATCGACGCTCCCTGGCTTGATCAAGGCTGAAGGCAGAAATTAGCAGCTCTTTGATCTCGGACGTTGAAGGAGGAAGGGAACTGTCACACACTTCTCTCCCACTCTCTGATGCGCACAAGTCTCCCTCTGTCCATCCGCTCGCTCTCACGAGGCATGTCGTTCTTCGAGCCCGCACCGCGGATCCCCAAAGACGCCATCTTCGCCCTCACCGCAAAGTACAACGACGACCCGGCCCCCGTGAAGGTCAATCTCGGACAAGGAAGCTATCGTGACGAGAACGGCCTGCCTTGGGTCCTCCCTGCGGTCCGTCGAGCGCGGAGGAGACTGACCGGTCCGAGTCTGGACCACGAGTATCTGCCTATTCTGGGCCTGCCAGAGTTTAGGAGCGCGGTTGCGGAACTCGTCTTTGGGTCAGGAGCTTATAGGGAACTGCGACATCGAGTATGTTCAGAGTGAAATTACCCAAGATGCTGTGCTGATTATGTCTCGTAGATAGCCAGCTCTCAGAGCCTCTCCGGCACCGGGAGCTTACATCTCGCGGGCGCCCTGATCGGGAACTACAGCTCGTTGGCTCGGCAAGTACTCGTGCCAGAGCCGACATGGTCGAATCACCATCTCGTCTTCTCATCGCTGGGCTACCAAGTCCGCACGTTCCGCTACTACAACCGCGACACCAAGACGCTGGATATCAAATCGTACCTGGAGGCCCTGCGCTCCGCCGAGCCAGACTCGGTCGTCCTCGTCCACGCGTGCGCCCACAACCCGACCGGATGCGACCCGACACGAGAGCAGTGGCGGGAAATTGGCGGTGTGGTCAAAGAGAGACGGCTCTTCCCGCTCTTCGACGCCGCGTACCTGGGTTTCCGGTCGGGGGATTTTGACGAGGACGCATTTGCCATTCGCCATTTCGTTAACGAGCTGGGCTTGGAGGCCGCGGTGGCCGTCTCGTTTGCGAAGAACATGGGTCTTTACGGTAAGTCTTCCAGAAGACCAGAGCAACAAGAGAGAAATTGCCGTTGTCTGAGCCGTTTTTATTACCATTTCCATCGCAATTGCTCATTCAGTCGTGGAACAGGCGAGCGCGTGGGTGCGACCCTCGTCGTGACCAAATCCCCAGAAGTCGCCCAGAACTGCGACTCCGTGCTAGAGCGGCTACAGCGCTCGGAAATTTCGAATCCCCCAGCCTACGGCGCGAAGATCGCCACAGAAGTCCTGCGCGACCCGCTCCTGCGCAAGATGTGGTTCGACGACCTCAGGACCATGAGCGATCGCATCGCGGCCATGCGGTCCGCGCTGTACAACTTACTCGTTGAGAACGGTACGTTTTGTCAACCCCTCACCTGGGCTGCCGTTTACATTTATATATGGAATCAATCTCTGACAAAGCTCTGCTTTTTTTTTGTGTGGTACAGGCGCTCCAGGGACCTGGGACCATATCGTCCAGCAGTCGGGAATGTTTGGATTTCTGGGATTGCCGTACAGCGTCGTCGTGCAATTAAGAGGTGAGTGGTTACTGCGAACTCGAATTTATCCATGTCTGGAAATACATACACGCACACATACACACGTGCATACGTACCCCGTTGTCTGATCTATCTTATCCCCTTCCTGACCCGTCCCGACCCGTCCTGACCGATGGGCCAAACAGACCGCCACCACATCTACATGGCCGACAACTCGCGCATCTCCATCGCGGGCCTCAACGAGACCAACGTCGAATACGTCGCGCGCGCGATCACAGAGTGTTTGCTTTTAGAAGAAGATTCTCATTCTAGTAAAAGCGAGGAGACGTCGCCGCTGGCTCCGCATCTATAGACAGATATAGACGGGTTTAGACAGATAAGATAGACAGAACAATATCTTTTGAGAGTTGTTGGGTCTTGTTTAGTGTCTTGTGCCGTGTAACATGTGTCATTGATAATGTGTCGACTGTATAGTCGGATGATATATGGGATATGGATGAGAGATGGCAGATGATCCGCCTCTCTTCTTGAACTCCTTGGTATCCAGGCCTCGGCCTCTAGCTTTGAGCATCCAGCACCCTTCCCGCAGCCTCTAAATACTCGTGGCTGCAGCAACCTCTCTCTGTGGTGTCAACCCAGCCAGACACATGGCTGGTTTTCAGGGAGAAATAAAAGAGTCTCTCCTCTCACAATGTTCTTGGGAGGGTTGCGAGGTCCAGGAGTCAGCGAGCTTGATCAGGTACCCAATTAAGGACGTTGTGGATGAGGTCAATGGGTGTCATTTCGATATTCGGCATGTCGGTAGTGAGTGACCTGTGGCCCGTCTCTCAGGCAGCCGGTCCGCCAGGCGGAGGCGTTGCCGTGATGTGCTATGCCATGCTGTGCTGTGCTGGCCCAGATAGTTGAGTGAGGGCAGACCTAGCGGTCAAGAGGGCTGTTCGCTCTTCACGTCAAACCCTCTGATTTGGAGCCCTCACACACCCTGCTGAGCGCGCTTCGCTCCAAGCTCCTTGTTTTGCAGATGTCGAACGACCATGGCACTCACAATCATGGCGGCACTCAGTACGGCGCAGGTGATGTAGCCCTTTTCGTAGCGCGGAGCGTCGACCTGCTTCCACACCAGCAGGGGGAGCCAGGCCTGGACGGCGTAAGAGAACTCGTTCATAGAGCCCGTGACGAAGGCGCGCTCCTCGTTGTCGTGGGTGCAGATCTCGTGCGCCCACGCGTAGCACAGGCCGCTGAGCCCGCCGCCCGCGCCCACCAGGATGAAACACGTCCACTTCCACCCCATGGGCACGTCCCACACGGCCAGGCTGATGTAGATGACGATGTTGACCAGGTTGGCCGCGATGATGGGCGGCCACCGCGCCCCGTGTAGGAACGTGTCGGAGCTCCACGCGTACATGAGCGTCGTCACCACCTGCACCGCCGCGCTGGCCGACGGGATCGCGTTGATCTGCGTGATGGTGTATTTCGGATGTTGCGAGTCCTTGAGGAACAGCGAGAAAAACGGCTGCGGGATCGCGTTGTTGTTAACGAAGATGATGAACATGATGACGACGCCGTAAAAGTGCCACGACCGAAAGATCTTCTTGATCTTGGTCCACGTGTACGGTTGGCGCCCGCTGCGCCCTTCGAGCAGCATCCGCGTTTGAGCCAGTTCAATCTCGGCTTTGCTGAGATAAAAGGCCTGGCTCGTTTCCGGGACGTCCGGGTAGAACAGATAGCCTGCTACTGCGACGGGCACTGATAAGAAGTCAATCACACGGCCACGAACATAGGCTGGTAGTTGAGGGACTTACCAGCGATGCACCCGTCAACAATAAACAGCCATTGCCATCCGCGGAGTCCTCCCCTTCCCTCGAGATGGTAGACCGCCGCCATCAGATAGCCGCTGAACATGCCCGCCAGGGCACTGGAGGTGTGGAATATGCAGGACCGCTTGGCCAACTCGTCGCGTCGGTACCAACACCCAATGAGGTACTGAACACCAGGGTAGAAGCCGCTCTCTGCGAGGCCGATCAGGAACCGCAGCGCGTAAATGGGCTTGATGGTGTCGCAGGCCGCCATGCACATAGTCAGGGCGGACCAGACGATCTGGATGCATGGGATGTATATCGAGGCCCGAACGCGTGTTAGGAGGAGGTTCGCTGAAGACAACCAAAAAGATCACAGATACAAGTCAGCAAATGGCTCGATGGCTCGAAGCCTGAAGGAACAATGGGGAGACGTCGCACATGGTATAGCTCCCAGCACGTATCCGACCGTCCACAGCGTCTGCATGTAGTTCAGCTGGTTGCCATAGAGACCCAGATCCTCCTTCATGCCCGAGACGAAGGCGTTGCTGATGTTGAGCTGGTCCAGATATTTGATAAAGAAGCCAAACCCGGCGAGACTCAGCATCGCCGCGTCGAGCTTGAAGAGGAACGCGCGCTCAACGGGGTCTTTGTCGAGCGTGTCCCACAAGTATGACTTCCAGGTTCGTTTTCCCCGGCGCGCTTCGACGGGTGTCGCATCATCGATGGAGGTGTCAGAAAACCTGGCCCCTTTGATTGGGGAGGAGTATACCTTGGCTGGCGGTGAGATGGGCAGGACTTTCTCCAGGGCTTTCTCCATGGCTCTCGAGGTATGCTGTAAAGTCCCCAGGGGTGAGGTGTCTCAGATGATGGTTGCCTGAATGCTGGTATCGAACCGTAAAATCACATCCTGAAGAGATATACTCGCCAGACTTGTTGCAGAAGGCATTTGGACGCGCGGCTGATTGTTTGATACATCAGGAGACCTACACGGTCTGCGAGCCAGTCACGACAAGATGTCGGCGCAGTCGGAAAGCCAAACGAGCAAGGACAAAGCCGCTTAGAAATTCGAGATTCACGGGAACGCACCAATTGACATTTTCATGTCAGGTTTCTCCTCGTGCAGTCAGCAAGCGATGGTGGATGAGGTCAAGACACAACTAGCCAGACGGAGCAATGGCAAAAGGAAGACCAGGTCCAATAATGGTGAGACCAGGGTGGAGGTATCGATATGTTGCTGAAGACCATGTAGACCATCCGGGGTCTTTTTCAACGGACTGAAGCGAAGACTGCATCAAGGGATGAAAGGTGACCAGGTCTTTGTCGTCGCTCCGCCCTTTTCGGTAAAGGCTCATCCACCCCTCGAGGTGCTGACCTATTTGATTCGTGATCCGTTCAGAAAGCATCCATTATCCTCATCGAGAACCACTGGACGCGGTGACTAAAGCCACGTGGAAGCGGTGCGTGCGAGGAGATATGGCGCCTGTTCGGCTTTTGACATGATCGCGCAGGAAATGGTTACGAGACTCTGCGCACCTTTTGAGAAATAAAACCATCAAATCGTAATCCATCTCTGTCCATGCCTTTGACATACAGACACGTTGTCGGCTGATCTCCTGTACCTCGAGCCCTGCAGCCAGCGCCTCCTAGACCCTGCATGTCTTCAATCTGGGGGTATCGGCACAAGTGCCTGGTCACTTTCCTGAACGGTTCTCCCTCACACGATACTCGATCCTCCTGCAAGTCTCGCTTATAGTTGGCGCTAGAAGCATTCGCCGGATGAAAACTCGTCTCCTCATTAATATCTTTGCTTTTGGCACCGAACTTGTCAAGGATCTGGCACTCGTGGGGCGTTGGGTGCATTTGCACTAGTCCGTCAGATATGTCCACAGTCACTGTAGATGATGCATCGAAGGATTCTGGCGTAGCCTTGTGATGGAGGATCGAACACCCGGAATTCCTTGCCCTGGAGTGGTCTGAAGAAGGTGGAAGGACACAGACTCGTAGCATCGTCAGATGCCATCGAGTCACTCCTGTTTGCTTTGCCTAGAAAAGGTAAACATCCAACTGCGTATGATTAGTGGAAACTCACCGCTTGGACGAACTTTGTTCCTGTGCTAAATGGGCCACGGCCTTATCCAGGTCGCCGAGTGTGAACGGTCCGTGTGTACGCCGACTCTTGTTTTAATACAAACTTGGTACGTGCTTGGGAGGCGGCTCGGAGGTATACGAGGCACAGGAATCACTCTTGGTCCGGCTCTTGGCTCGGCTTCTCCCTCCAAATTGATCCTTTCCTCATATACCCAAGATCTACCCCAGCCACTGAATCCCAAGTGCGCGAGTAATCCGCGGTTGAGTCTGACACGACTTTACCCCCGACAAGTCCCAGGAAGCATCAGAAAGAGAACCCCGAGCTTGGTACATCCCTCGAACCGCAGATGCGTAGAGGGAACGGCCGGCCAATGCAACAGCAACAGTCAATCGAGATCAACAACCACAACCACCCACACAACCAAGGCGCAAACTGGCCGAACTCTTCAAGGACGAACATCACGACCTACCCGTAACCGCGGACATGTGACTAAGCCAATCGCCGTGCGAGGAATTGCCTATCATTTCCGTGTCTGAACTGTCCCCTTGCGGCAAGGCGCAAGAACCCATCTTCCTCTTCGATAGAGCACCGGAAACGATCCGCTCTCGAGCACGCCTCGGCTTACTTGAATCGGTGGAACTCTGCGCCGTTTGAGCTATTTGAGCGAGACTTCCACTTGCAGGGGGAAAGAGAGATCGTGACACAGTCTGCAACAGGTGGAGAAGATTTGGTCAATACATGGGTCGTTCGATCCTCGGCCAAGGACCATCGAGGCTACCAGAATACGACTGAATCGAAAAAGCCTGTCGACTCCCAGTCCTATCTCCGTGTCTATGTCTCTTTTGCAACCGAGGGTCTATGGATCCCAAGCCTGAATAAAAGTCTTTGCTGCGCGAGCACGGGAGATGGGAGACGTTGGACCTGAAAAGAGCAGGGAGAATCGCAATCCGACTCGGTTACGGGTGGTGCATCACACAGCAATAAGCGGACAAAGGTTAATGTAACGTTCATCAATTGTGACACCAAGTCATGGCGTGCAACGGAACGTCAGTCCCAAGTAGCCTTGTCCCATGCAGCTCGGGTCTCGCATCGACGACGACAGTCCCAAAGCATCGGACGGTTGGCAGGGAGTCGACCAGTGAGCCTCTTTCCCGTCAAGTTCAAACCGAGACCAAATATCACCGAGGGGGATGATGGCGCCGTCCTCAATAAGGCAGACAAGAAATGGAAAATCTCTACACCCTCGGATGTCTGTCAACGACACAAGAAACGTACACACGACCACAAAGGGGACGACCACAAGTTGGCCGATCTTTCCCATGCTGGATACGTTCTTGCTTGCAGGGTTCTAGGCAGCAGCAATCCCTTTGACGTAGCGGCCCTGCCATTATCGCCTCGAGATTCCCACCTGATCAAACTCGCACATTCGTTCGGTCTGTTTCTAGGTGGCGCGGCCACTCCAGACAAGCTCGTGGCCCGTGACATAGCTGACGGCTGGGTCTCGGATGTTCAGCTGTCGTTATCCAACAAGGCATTACTTCATGCCCTGATTGCGCTGGGTGCCTCGATCTGTGCTGGTGGGAGCAAAGAGAGAAACGATACGTACATCACGTATGCAGCCAAGCACAAATTAGTCGCCATTTCGAGCCTCCGTAATGTTTCGACAGAGCAGTTGCGGACATATCGTAGCTTGATCCTGATCCGGCTCCTGGTTGCATGCGAGTTCTACATTGAAGATATCGCCGCCGCCGAAGTGCACCAGAAAGCGCTGCACCACCTCTTTAGTGATATGATGAGGGGAAGCAGCATCTCCCACTTGTCGATTGGCACGAGCGACATCTGGACGGCGGCGATCCAAGGCCGTCGCACCCGATTTAGGGAAGGTGACCACGACCCCGGCCCATGGCAACAGTGTTTCTCGGCGGCTGCATTCCGTCTTGTAAAAGAATATGCATCGGCATCGGCGCAGCACTTACTGCAAACAGACTCAATCGACAGCTCCCTCCGATTCAATGTCAAGATTTTGGCGATTGTGGAAAGGATCAGGAATATTGCTTTCATAAACGAGGCTGCTAAGAGTTCATCTTGGAGTGCAGACAGCCGCGACGTGGAGCATGAAATCAAGCGGTGGCTGAATTTCTACCGTGTCGAGACCTCCAAGCTCTTGAACAACGTCGCCGTGAACCACGCCGAGGCGCTGTTGTCGGGTAACATGATTCCGGAGTTTGTCACATATCACGCGCTGAGCTGCGCCATGGCTCTGGCCCTGCGGTCTCAATGGCTGCTCATGGGCCACGTTAACTCTGTGGCTCGGATCCAGCTCCGGTACTGGAACTTGAATGCACATGCGACTGAGGAGAGGCTTCGGAAGACGATCCGGATCCTCGAGGCAAGCTCAATCAGACCGGGTCAGGAGAACATGTGGTTCTATATCCTGTTCATGCACGCGATATTTGTGCAATACCTGAACCACATCAACTCGCTGGTGGTGACGGTGAAAGAGGAAGGAGGCCCAGCGGACAGCAATGGCGTGCTCTCCGAGTCACTCGAGAGACTTTGTCGGGAAAGGGTCCGTCGCGGCCTCTGCGGTGTGGTGCAGGCAAAGGAGATCCTCCGTGGGTTTTGGTATCACAAGTGCTGTGGCGATGCGCGCTTGAACGAGGTCTGGCGCATCTTGGCAGGGTAAGATGGACCACAGCACAGCACAGCACAGCACAAGTCCCAGCACGATCTGCTAGTGAGAGATATCTTCAGTCTATACCAGGTTTGCAGAGTTTCGGGGGGAAGCCCTACTCCCCAAGTTTAGGTAGGTATTCACCCTTGACCCAAAGCTTTCCCTTGACCAACTTCAGCCACGTGGTTTATTTGATCTCTGATGTCCTTCTCAAGACAAACATGTGTAAAATCAGCCTTTTCTCAAACCATACTTGTAGCTTTTTCAATATAACAGATGGTTTCCGTCATACTTTTTGATCTTGCTTTGTAGTCTAATTTGTACGAGGTAGTTTTGTGGGTGTTTACTCAGTACCCCAAGTGAGGGACGAGGCTATGTTTGAAAAGGGGTTGGTTAGTTGGTTGGTTGTTGATCAGCGGGCGGAATTACCATCTCGTTTCGGGCTGTTTCTAGCCGAGCGGCGGCAGATAACAACAGCAACACGAGCTTACCGAGTAGACTTTAACATCACTCTACTCATGTTGACACCTAGTGATGCCTATCGATGCGCATCCAAGCATCCGAGAAATGGATTCTATTTTCCTGGTATGATTATATGAGTATAAACGAGTATGACTATTCGGTACAACAGTGTGCATTGAATAGAGGGTTTGAGGACTGGAGGACTACTAAAGGAATGTACTCACCCCTTAAACTACCCTCCCTTGCCCTGCCTGCCCTGCCCTACCCTGCCGCACCATATCAGGGTCTTGTGTCCCGTGTTGTCTCATGTCTTATGTCTCATGAATCTACATACCGGGACAACTACCTGGGTATTTACCTAGTTACCTATTAGATGCCGAAGGTAGGAAGGGAAACGGAGTGACGTCAGTGGAATCCCGGACCATCACCATAACTACCTACCTAGGTACCTACCCACTCAGGCTGTCAGGTATCTGGCGATGCTGGGCATCGTCTGTGCTCAGACAAGTTGGCCAGTGCTCTCGCACGGCCGGCTTGGTCACGTCAGGCAAGCAGGCAAGCGGGCAGGTCAGTCGAGACATAAACAGCAAACAAAGAGGCAATCACAAATACCAATCAGCAATTCACGCCGGTAAATTTGCAGATTCTGAATTTCACATGCTCACGTACTCACATGCTCGTACCCCAAGTACACTTGCTATGGTCCTCATCTTCGCTTGAACTGTCTCTTACCTCCCCATCCACCCATCCAACCACCTACATGCTACCTACATGCTACCTGCCTAAGTGACTGCCTTGTGGTGGTGCTCTCGGCGTTCGTGTCTACTTGTTTTATACTGGACGGACGATAATAGAAAAAGGATACCTATCGTGATGGCTGAATACCCTACATGGCTTCCGGCGTGAGTACTTGCATCCTTCACTACTTCCTCAGGTACCCAGGTACTTACTACGCTGTGCTATACTACACTACACTTCACTTCTCTACCCTACTCCGCTCTGCCCTTCTCTACTTTCCTTCTCTCTACACTACGTTCGAGATGCCACCGCATATCTCACACTTCCGACGAACTCACACCAACTTACAGTGACAGGGTCTACCACTCCGGCGCCTTCTCCGACATGACCATCATCTGCGCAGATGAAAAATTCCAAGTCCACAAGGTCGTCGTCTGCTCGCAGTCGTCCTTCTTCAACACGGTATGCAGCAAGCCGTGGGGCGTAAGTGCAGTGCTTCAATTCATGTCTTTGTCCGCTCCCAGAATCTGACCTAGTGGAACAGAAGTCCACACAACCCGCCGTCGATCTAAGCGATGATGACGTCGAAACCGTCAAGAGAATGATCGACTTCTTCTATCGGGGCGATTATCAGGATTTCGAAAGCGACAAATTCACCCAACACGCCCAAGTCTTCGCCATCGCGACAAAGTACGATATCGACAAACTCGCTCAAAAGGCGGCTCATAAGTTCTGGAACGCAAACATCAAGTGCTGGGACGCCGAGGCCTTCTTGAAGTCCGTACCCATCGTCTATCTTGGAACTCCCGAACAGGTGCTCGGACTTCGGGATGTGGCCACTCGTTGCATTCGTGTCCATTTCACTCAGCTTGGTGGAGATGCCGACATCCAGGCTCTGTGGCGCGAGACCTGTACCTCTAACCCGACATTTGCCTTTCACCTGCTCCAATCGTTCCACAGCAGTCCCTTCATGGCACACTGTCACAAATGTGGATATGGCCAGGCCATGGAAGTTAATCAGTTTCAGTGTCTAAAATGTCGGGGTTGGAAAACCTCCAAGAAGGAAGTCAAATAGGTGCGATGCGGACCCAAACGAGCCTATGACTATCTGAGGGTGCCGAAGAAAGATAAAACTCTCGCTTGCACCACAACAGTGCCGCTTCCTTCTTGCGAGTCCCTTCAAAGGGCCAGAGGTTACCTGTAGAGGCACATGGTGAAGCATAGGAACCACGCAGGTCGACGGTCAATATTGGAGACACAATCAGTTAGTTCGTCTGCCGTAAGGAAGGCTTATCCGTCGGAGAGAGAAACAGGAGGACAGATGTATTTCCAGCTCCTCGTCCAGTTCTGGGTTCTTTTCAGGCACCCAGCAACCTTGTCTAGTGTTGACATCTTTGGGTGGAATAGCTTTGTCGACGAGGCAGGGTTCCTGAGCCTTAAGCTTCGGGATTACCTACTGCTACCGGTCGGGGCTGGAAGCCTGGTTGAGAGTACGATGAATATCAACTGTTTCCAAAGCACAGTCTTCTGCCTTGTTTTTGGACTAAACGCGCAAGGAAGCTGGATCGGAATTTCCCGGCGGATTGACCTCCTGTGGCCCACGGAGATATTGACCAATTCCAAGTCGTCTCTGACGAGGACTGGCATCAGGCAAGCAAAAGGTTTGAGTTTACGGACCTGTTATTGGAGTCCTAACGATGCTAACGATACCGACTTCCGAGTCCATTGTTCTGTTGATTCGTTTTTCCAACGACCTAGACAAATCAGCCTGCTCTGACGAAGGAGGGAATTCGTCACATGTAATCCCCTCATGGCAGACTCAACAACTCACCCGGTGGGCGATAATCCATTCCTACAACGGGCGTATGCACTCTCGAGCTCCGTCGAGGCACGCGACCTCTACAACGAGTGGGCTCTTGAATATGACAAAGACCTCGAGGCCGAGGAATACGCTGCCCCAAAGCTTGCAGCGCAGGCATTGGTCGACGCGCTAGACCGTCGGCAAAGTGAGGGCCAGCTGGGGGGACTTCAAGTCCTAGACGCCGGCTGTGGAACAGGGCTGGTCGGAGTCGAGCTGGCGAAATTCGGCGCTCAGGATGTTACAGGTCTGGATATCAGCCAGGGCATGCTCGAGGTGGCGCGCAAGACAGGCGTCTACGGCGTGCTGGAGCAGGCCGACCTGTCGCTTCCAATCGCAAAGCCAGACGACGCCTTTGACGCGGTCATCTGCGTAGGCACCCTGACACGCGGGCATGTGGGACCGCAGGTGGTCAAAGAATTTGTCAGGGTCGTGAAACGGGGGGGATTCATCGTCGCGACTGTGCTCGATGATATTTGGGAGAGCGCCGGGTTCGGTGCCGAGGTCGAGCGCCTGCGGGCGGCTGGCGATGGTGGCAGGATCGAGGTCTTGCGTTCAGATGTGGTGGGATTGAGATCGACAAGCAATGTAGGTGGGAGGTTGCTGGTGCTTCGAAAGGTGTAGGGATGGATTGATAGAAGGGTGTTGAGATGACCTACATAGGTGGGAGCGAAGGTGGGCGCAGTTGCTGCTACATACTCGTACACGCAAAGCGTTCCTCTCTTTTCATATGGCAGCTTCAAGCACGGGACAAATTGTCGACAACAGTCTGGAAAATGAAGAGGCTAGCTATATTTCTAGAAACTCTCGTTTGAAAGTAGTAGTTCTACTCGGTATGGAACCGTTGACTTTGTCTGAATAGATAGGTCGAGGCTGCGCATTGCCATGACTAGTATACAGCCTAAAGGCCCCCGTTAATTGGGGGCGAGTCACCTAACTTGAGGTCTCAACCCCTTAACCCTGGGTCTCGGCGGTACTCACAGGGCCGAGGCTTTCACTTGGCACTGGCTGGTACGAGTGCTCTATTCCTTAGTAAGTAGGTGCCTAGATACCTACCTAAAGTACCAAGTACTGTACAAATCTAAGAGGTAATCACTACCGACTACATTGCTCACGCCAAGTGCCTTTGACCTCCCCTATTTCACCACCAACGTTTGCTTATGTGTTCATTCCTCAACTTTGCCAGCTTTGCTGTTGATTACCATACCTTCGACCTCTTTCTCCGTCTCTGTTCCAGAGACAAACCGCAGAAATAACTTACAGAGAGCGACCGATAGGAAGGCCTTGTTTGTTTAGACGTTGACTGGGCTTTGAAGTTCGTTCGCAGCTTCCTGGTTTCATGCACAAACTCTCTCGTCCTCCTTTCCTTTCCGAGTACCCTTATTCCTCTGTGGCTGAGAGAGCAGCCTCCCTCTGTATGCATCCTGCCAACAGGGTGGGAGATCTCACACCTGAATCCCCCTTTGCCCTATCTTGTTGATATGTCTTCTCGACCATACCGACTTCTTCATCTATCCTTCTCAACGGCCGTCGTTTTTATATAGTGTGGCCTCATTGGCACGGATGGACAAGCATATCCATGACGGCACGTTCTCTCAGTGCAGGTCTTTCGGCTGTTGCAAACCCCGGTTTCCATCCGAAGCAAAGCACCAAGCAGACATGAACGCTGCCCTCAGGTGCATTGATCCGAGAACTGAAAGTAATGTTCATGAAATTCATATGCGGTCTCCAGGGTTACACCAGCCTGGTCGAATGGCACGTGAATTTGGCTATGCTGGAGCGAGTCTTGAATATACAAGTCTGGGTATTCCATGGGTGAGATATTGATATCCCATTCAGACTCCGGGTTCACGCTTAGCCAGGATGATGCACATTGTGGTAATGAAGGGTCGACCTCAGGACCACCCATTTGATCGAGAGAGAACAACGGATCCGAATAACCGTCGGTCTGCTCTGCGGAGAAAACATGACTCGGCGGCTCCGGGGGGAATAGCGTCTCGAACAAGAACGATTGCTCCTCGACCATATCCCAGGAAAAGGTGCCATGCTGTTGCGGCGGAAAGGCAGATTGCTGCTTCTCAACCCCGGTGACGCTCTGAGTACAGTCTTGTGCCGTGACCGAGCCTCCAAGCGGCGTAGAGACCGAGCAATGATGGTGTGAGGAGGGAGAGGAGGACGAGCTCCCCGACTCTGGCTTCGACTCTACTTCAGCAGTCTGCCCCCGCTGCGGCTTCGACCACACCCAGTCTGGCGGCTTCTTGTCCACGGTCAAGAACACACACGGCTTGTTCTTGCGCCGACAGCTCACACAGCTCACACAGCTATCCTGCTGCAGTTCCCGCCTCGGTGTCGTGAGGAGACAACGCGTCTTACTCCGGCGACAGCCTACACAGGCAATCGAAGCGCGGTAGTAACCGAGCTTGGAACCCCGTGACGCTGGCGGCGGCTGGCGAGGGCGCGAGTACGGAGACATACTTGTCCTTGTGCTCGTACTGGTGCCTGTGCTCATAGACGAAGTCTCCGGCAGTGGGGTTTCAATAGTACACAAAAAAGGGGGGCACGGTAATGGACTATGCCTGTGCAAATGTCTGTACTTATGTACATGTATATATCTTTATGTTGTCTTTATTGAAAAGGCGCAAGCCACAAGCCATTGACAGTAGAGTAGAGAGAGGAAGAGAAAACGCCCGAGATATCAGAACGAACTACAAACAGGATCTCACCCCGCGGTTGTCCAGATGGAGCCTTATCGCGGCCCAGAGCATGGCACTACGCGGTGAGGTCCGCTTCAACTACAAAGTACCTACACGCGCATTCCATATATGGACGTAGGAGGTAACCCAGTACCCACCTATGCACTAATCAACTAGGTAGGGTGGGGACGGGATTGGGGATGTACGAGGAAGAGGTGGATAGGGAGGTAGGACTACCGCGGGTCAATAGGTGAGACGGGATTGGTCCAGTGAAGTCTCCTACATATGTAGTCAAGAATGTACAAGGCACTTGTAGGAGGAACGCGCAACTTGTGCCACGGCGGTCCAAGGGTGCTGTATATAGGTAGGTGGCAAGCCCGTGCTTGGTGGGTAGGTATGGTCATAATCTCTCCGTCCTTACAAAGTCCACTCAATAATAACCTGGGGAAGTGTTGTTATTCCCAACCTTTTTAAGATCATACAACGCTCTTGTCACCGGCAACCACGGTCTCTTTCCCATCCACGCTGCTCGCCTCCTCACCACCACCACCAGCGGCGGCGGCGGCGGCAATCCTCCCGTCCAGCCTCGCGTCGTCTTCAATGTGCTTGGGCACAATGACCGTGTCCTCGTGGAAGTAGTTCGTGTCGCTGACGTACAGGACCGTGACGGTGTACAGGAACAGGATGCCGACAAAGTAGCACGCGAACTGGAACGACAGCTGGGTGATGTAGGTGCCGCCGTTGCCGTCGATGATGAAGCTGAACATCATGCCCAGCGCGGTGGTGCCGCGGAAGCACGACGCCCGCCGCGCAAGGCGTTCCGGGTCGTTGGTCAGCGCGCAGATGACGTATTGCGTCGCGATTTGGTAGATGCTTTTTTTTTGTTGGAAGAAATCAGTGGGATGCTTCTTTGGGAATGAAATGTTCGTGGGGGGTTGGTCTCACCTGTACACACTCCCGTAGATGATGTAGATGACAAAGGCGCCGGCGAAGCCCGGATCCGTCCAGTCGGTCGACGGTCCCGCCTCGTGTCGGTTGAGATGGTGTTGGGCGAGCCACGCCGCCTCGGCGGCACAGATGGCCAGCGTGACGGCGCTCATGACCGAAATGCCAATCAGGGCTCTGGTCTTCCTGCGCCCGAACCGGGGATTGTCGAGGATGTAGGTCATGCCGAAGCTGGCGGGCAGCTGGATGAAGTTGAACATGACGTTGTTGAGCGAGCGGGTGCGCAAGTTGAAGTAGTAGCCGTTGAGAGAGCTCTGGAGGGCCAGGGCCATCTCGGCGACGAAGATGGCCGGCAGCAGCATCATGAACCTGTAGTCCTTGATCATCTCGACGATCCCCTCCAGCTCGCTCTTCAGGGACGGCTGCTTGAAGATGGCGATCTTGGTCCCGTCGCTGCGCACCACCTTTGCAGGCCGCACGAGCAGCGTCAGGGCCAGGACCATGGCCAGGACCTGGATCACAACGAAGACGACGTAGACCGGCGTGGGAGCGCCCGCGTCTTGCCGCGCGCTGTGTATGTTGATCCCGAGAGCTACGAGAGCTGCGATCGTCGAGCCACCTATTACGGGTAAATATCTTCGTCCAAATAACTCTGTGCCAGAGCTCACCTTCACACATGCACCATTGGATTGTCATAAACAGAGCCTTGTCCTTCTCTTCGGCGTACGAGTACGCAATGGCGCCGGCAGACGCCCACAGAAGCGCCGCAGATACCCCTTCAATGCCTCCACCGAGGTATGCCAGCCAGGAGTGTCCGCTTCGGTCGAAGTACCACAGACCACCTGCAACCAGGGTGAGCCAACGCGAAAGTCAAAAAGCGAGGGTCCCCTAGAGGGATATAATGAACTGACCCGTGTAGAGACTATATCCAATCGACCCGAGAAAGACCGTGTAGTTTGGGCCGATGAGATTCATCACCGAGCCCGCAAACCACCCGGTGATGAAGAAGACGCCATATAGGATGGCATTGACGTTTGCAGCTACGGCTTGAGACGACGGTTTCCCTCCACCGGCTCCGAGACCTGTCAAGGCGAGGTAGATGCCCGGGAGACATAGGAGCATCAAACTTGGCCAGAAGATCAGAACACAACCCTTGACAACCTGTGGGAGAGGAGAGAACGTACCCAGCAATCAGATTCTGGATGAAAGGGTGGTTGAGGCGCAAGTCTGCTCTCTTCAGCCCCATTTTGAGAGTCGTTCTGGCTTGTCAGGAATGTAAAAGAGTATAGGACACTTTGATGCAGTGTGTTATAACTGAGTGATAGACGGTGCCGAAGCAATATCTCTCTGGAGGGCCTTGAAGCACATCCCCCTTTTTATATCTTATATCCAGAGTCGGGTATCTACAAGTCAACAGGCGCGAGAACCATGAAAATGATACTCGAGCGAGTCTCACCGTCACATCAACACCCATGGCACTCCCTTCTACAAAGTCACAAGGCAACCGAACCGCGAACCCTTGTCGATCCCTCTCCTGCATCTCGGCACTGTATCAGTCGCCCATGCAGAAACTGAGTGGCTGGTGGAGTTGATAATCCTAGCAAAAGGATTGCAGTGGAGCATCCCCCTAAGGGTATTAACATGAAGATCTGGAGAAGGAAAGAGAGAGGAGAGGCTGAGGAAAGAAGGGTTGACAGTAATTGACAAAGCCACGGAATGGGATACACGGCTCAACGGATCATTTTCGGAGAATATGAAATCGCTGCCCAGGGACAGGCATTTGCTGGGGGTCCCTTTTCCAATGTGCATTGGCGCATCGACACTAAATCAGGTGGATATCGGCACTGTATCTGTAGCCAACCATGGCGACGTATACAGCAAAGGAGGGGCCATCAACGTCGATCCATATCCTTGACGCCGCCACGGAAGAAGAATGAGGAGAAGCACTGCACCAGAAAATCCAAGCACATTGTTTGGGGAGAAGGACTCGGTATGGATCCAACAGGACAGATACACTTACGAATATCTAGTAGTCATGGAGGGTGGAGGATCTTTTACTCCCGACACTTGGGAAGAAAAGTCATGGTGGACACACCACACCGTATGTACGACATTGTTCCGCAGGTAATATAAAGGGCAGCAGGAGGTAGTCAATTTGCTATAGGAATTCGAGTGTGTAAACCCAGACCTCAGTCCAAATCCTGCGACGATGAACCCCATCCGCTCGGCTTTTTCACTCCTCCATGCACCTTTCGCGGCGTCATCACGAAACGCGTGTAGGGGTTTGATAAGAGGGCAGTGTCGCCAACATACCCCTCAAGTCCGATCGTTCACCGCCAGACACGGGCTATACTCTGCTTCCACCCTGACCGTCAACCAGCAGCGACTATGGGACACCCTACACCACACCGCACAATGGGGAGCGACGCCCGAAGGAGGCGTTCGACGCCTGACTCTCACCCCAGAAGACAAGGCTGTCCGCGACTGGTTCGTCGACACAGTGCAGCAATACGGGGCCACGGTCAAGGTCGATGAGATGGGGAATCTCTTCGCCATCAGGCCGGGCCAAAACAACGACATTGCCCCTATCGGCATCGGATCCCATCTGGATACCCAGCCCGCCGGAGGACGATACGATGGCATCCTGGGCGTCCAAGCTGGGGTCGAGATCCTCAAAGTCTTGCACGAAAATAACTACACCACCTACGCCCCGATCGCTGTGATCGACTGGACGAACGAGGAGGGGGCCCGTTTCAATACGGGTATGTTATCTAGCGCTGTATGGGCGGGTAACGTGTCGTTGGAAGACGCATACAACCACATAGATTCGGATGGCCTGCGCTTCAAAGACGAACTCGCGAAGATCGGATACCTTGGACCTGTCAAGGCCACTCACACTGCAAACCCTCTCTCGGCTCATTTTGAATATCATATCGAGCAAGGCCCCGTTCTGGAAGAGGACGGCAAGTCCGTCGGCGTCGTGACTGGAGTTCAAGGAATGACCTGGCTCATGGTAACGGTGAATGGGCGATGTCAGCACTGTGGCACCACGCCGATCGATCGACGAGCCGACGCTCTTCTCGCAGCAGCGCAGATGATCTCTCGCATAAATACCGTTGCCTGGGAACACAAGGGCGTGACCACCGTCGGGGTCATCAATTCCGAACCACAGTCGCCCGGCACGATTCCCGGAACAGTCACTTTCAGCGTCGACATTGAACACCTCTCCAACAATACCCTGGACAAGATGGCCGATATCGTCCGAGAATTGTGCGCTTCGATAGCGGAGAGTAACAGCTGCACCGTCGACATCAAGCAGATCTGGAGGAGTGCCGGGGTCGAGTTCCACAAAGACTGCATCGACGCGGTACGGTCGTCGGCGATCGAGCTCGTGGGTCAGGACGGCTATCGAGAACTCCCGGCTGGGGCAGGCCACGACAGCGTCAACACTTCGTACATCTGTCCCACGTCGATGGTGTTTATCCCGTCCAAGAACGGCATCTCACACCACCCGACCGAGTATTCCACACCCGAGCACTGGTAAGCCAAGCACAAAACTGTCATACTAGAGAATCTCCGCGCACTAACAATTGAAAATTGCAGTGCTTTGGGAACGCAAGTGTTGTTGAATGCCGTCCTGCGATACGACCAGGGTCTGAAAACGCGTGGACAGCCTAGTTCCGGATAGATGGACAGGTATTCGACAAGAAAAAGGGATCTTATGTTGGTCACAGCTGTGCCGAAGCCATTTTCTGACCCGTGCTCCCCGGACTCACCTCAAGCGATTGCAATGCCGTCGAAATTTGTCATTTCGGTCTTGTGTTCCTCTAGGTCAGGCATGGCAGTGGAAGGCAGGATGATGAGAAAATTGGCACGAGGTGTAGTTCCTAGCTATGTTTGAAAGTAATGCTTGGTGGGCTTGTGGCCCATTCCTGTCTCAAAAGAGGCTGGAAAGCGTGGCTATTCAGCAAAAAATCGCACGTATTCTGTAGCAAGGAATATCGTTATTTCGATTTCTTGTCAAGGGAAGCAGATAGAGAAAAAGAAAGAAAACATTTTTCTCGTCCTACTAGCAGTTGGCCAACGAGGTTATGGATTATTATCAGTCTGACTCCTGCGGTCTGCCCTCCGAGATCGCACCCGGAAATGACCCTGAGCGTGTCAGAACAACCTCCTGAAAACACCTGTCAAACGCCACTACTCGTCGCTCCGCTGGTCTTAGGGGTTGTCGACATTACAAAAAACAAAAGCAGCAACATTTGAGGGAAAAAAGGGAAAAAAAAGGCATAGAGACAAAAACAATCAACAATCAGGATTCCCACCTGGTCACCCACGGTAGTACTAACTGATCGGCATGTGGCTTAAGTACGGCTGAGCGAACGGGAAGCCCTGTATTCCACATCCTATGGTCGATTGCGGAAGAACTTTTGCTTCTCCAAAATATATGTCTTAGAGTCTGTGCGTGTTTTATGTAACAACCCTAAGTGGCTGCGGACCTACGAGTACCGGCCAAGCCATGACCTCGAAAATTAAACCCCCATCTCCGTCCTGTCTATACACGTACAACATGTACAAAGTTATCTTGATGGTGCGATTATCCCCTATTTTCCCTAAGTCCTTACTTCTCCTTTTCTCATCATGATTGCAACGTTAGCATGAGTACCACATATTGAAGAATAGGTTGGTGGTGTCTAAGACGCAGGGAGAAAAAAAGAAAGCCTGCATAGACTGCAATCGTACTGAACGCGTACAATGTTGTGCAGGGGGGAGCCTATAGACTTCTATACACTCTCACATCCTACTCGGTACATATACGTTCTTAGGCAAGTGATCTCGCCAGCCTGGGCATCAATAGTATGATGGTATAAACCCAGCCACGACTGATGCGCGAGTTCATGAGTTCATACAAAATTCCTTCCCTGAAATAGACTGCGTAGCCCTATATTCCTACCCATGTATTTAGCACTAGAGACTCAGCCATAGCATTCTCGTCTGGCGAGGCTACACAGCTACATCTTCCCATAATGCATTGGGCCCTAGCAATCGCAATCGATCGTTAGTACAGGGTTGTACAAGCGTCCAATGACACCATAGCCATTGCATATATGAGTGAAGCACTCGGTTGCGCTACTAAGGCAGCTCGGTCATATACACGCATTCATCTCCGCAAACATGCTGTCTATGTCGATCTCGTCCAGGAACATTCCACCCTCAAAGGTCTGCCAAATGTCGTCGAAGAAAGGCAATTCCGTGCTCGACAGATCGACACTGTTGCTCCCTGTTCCTGTGCCGAGTGCATCAGGCATAGTAGCAAGCGGCATTGCGGCCTCATGGGCTGGAACGTCATGGCTCACAGAGGGCAGCGACACCTTGTACTTGGACACCAGCCCGTGAAGAGATTCGAGCAACGTCGTGGCCATCTTCGTCTGGCTTCTGGCTTGCTCCAAGATCTGAAATGCCTGTGACAGTTCTGTTCTGCGACTGTCCTCGGGCTCGGCGACTCTGTTCAGGCAGACGTCTAATAATAGAGTGATGATAGCCAAGAAGAGGCAGTATAGTGTTCCGCCGAATCTGAAGCGGCTCAGAGCGAAAGGGATGTCTGTTTCCTTCTCCAGGCGTCGCTCGGCCGCGATAATCTGTCGCGCGGCATCGAGACAAATCTGCCGTGATCTGGCCAACTCCGGTTCCGCCGAGCTTCGCGACAAGCTTGGGAGGTGGAGCTTACAGCGTCGCGCCTGCACCATATTGACGAGAATGTAAGTCTGTACAGTGATCGCAGGGTCTTTCGAGGCTCTGTCGGGGGCTGCCAGATCTCCGTCATCTAGCCTGAAGAAGGGGGGAAATTCACTGAGAAACTTCTCAAAGTGTGCGTCGAGCTGCTGGGTATTGTTGTGATCTGCGGTAGAATTGTTGCTGACCTCGTAACAGAGCTCTCCGAGTCGTATTCTCTGCAAGAAATACGACATTGAGGTCGGCTGCGCGAGGTCCAATCCGAACATGGGAGCGCCATCCACCATATCTTCGTCGCGAATGTTGCGTGGCTTGTTGACCGTCATCTGCCGTGGTTGTATGGTGCAGATCCCTTCATGGGGCCCCGCGAACCTGCTGAGAATCCTTGAAGCTGGTCAGTCCGGGGTAATGTAGTTCTTTGTCCAGCAGACTTACCAATCCAATGCAGCAAGGTACCACCAGACCCTTCGCCCGACCTCAGCTTCAATCGAGTCAGCTGATGGGCGACGCGATACG